ACAATATGGACAAAAATATATGAAGACAAATCAAATTTGATAAGTATTAATTGGGATAACAATGGATATGCATGCATGTATGTATGTATGTATGTATATGTGTGTGTGTGTGTAGATTTGTTAAATAAAAAAATTCATTACAAGGGAAGGATAACTCAGCTTAACCCCTAAGTAAAAATAGTACATAAGTATTATTTTTTATATGAGTATATACCTATTTTATCAAATTAAATTTCATTATGAGTAACTTTAGAAAAATCCTCATAATGTGTAAACATAACTTTATCTCTATAAACATGAGATATAATATATAGCTTATCGCCCACTAAGTTTTATTATCATAGATCGTGATCAATCATATGTGATTCCTTTAATGTTTAACACAATCAAATTTGGTGAATATATTGCTATAGTACATTTACCTTTCTATTAAGTGTTAATGTAGGTGTCCAAGATCCAATCATGTTTAGATGAATTTGAGTTGTTGGATTATTGCATTATTTATATTAATTATAATAAAAGAAGTTTTTTTATTAATTATTGTCATTTATATTTATTGATTGAATAGAATTAGATAGAATTCTATATGATATACATTAGCATTAATGATTGATTGAAAGACATGAGACGGACACTAATACATATAAATGATATCATTAAATGTCTCAAGTCATAATATTATCAAGAATGGATATTGACTATATGCAGTTAGACTTGTAAGTGTTATGCTCATATTATACGATAGCAAGTATGAGATCTCATACCTATTGGCATGATGATGTCAAAGTAAGCACTTAAGTAATTTATGTTAAAGAATATATCATTGGACTTGACTCGCCATGAGAACCCATTTGGTTTAGTCTATAGAAATCTCATACGCGATGGGTACAACCGGTCCTTTAACTTGAAGTCATCACGGTTATCTCATTAAAAGATTTATGCACTTTGACACTTGTTTCGATGGACCTAGTAAAGGGTTGCACGTGGGCGATTCATTGGGAGTACTAGGAATCTAATAGAGGTAGGCGGATGACTAAGATAGAATATGTCATTCCTTGTATGCTAAATGAATTATCACATTGCACTTCGATGAATGTCTACTCAAGAAATTTATGGCCATGGTAGGAGTATACCAATAGAATATAGTTGGTTTACTTCACGAGCTAAAACATTTGAGAATCGAAAAAAACTTATGTGATCATAATCGAATAAGACTTATAACCATGTTTGAGATCACACTCGGGATAAGTTGTTATGAGGATTGAATTATATGGTAACCATGCTCATGAAAGGTAATAACGGATTAATTAATCCTCCTAGAGAATTGGGTAGTAATGATACCTTGGTAGAGGCTGTCTTGACTCATGTATCAAGAGATAAAAGAGGTGTCTTTTGTTCTTGATACATTGTTAACATATCTAGGAGCCTATTAAGTCACATGCATAAGTTTAAGCATTCACATGATTAAAGAGAATCATAGACGTTGAAAAAAATTTCAATTTTGAAAGTTTCCTATCTTGAAAAAGGTTTTCAAAAATGTAAAGTTGCCTAAAATGGAAATTTTTCTAAAATGAAAAGTTACTTAGTTTAGAAATTAGTTTTCTAATTTGGAAGTTAGTTCCAAATTTAAAAGTAAATAACCTAAAATAAAAATGTGTTTCCTAATTTAAGTTTAAGGGTATTTTGAAAAATTATTTCCTAATGAGCCTCAACAGATTTCAAGAATTGTATTTTATTGAAGTCGTTGTTTATTTAGAAAAAAAAAAACTAGTTAAATGCCTACACTATGTCGCCCTGTGTAATTGTTATATGCGTAAGGTCAACAATTAGTATGGTATAGTGCGAGTAGAAGTCTTGTTTTTTGTGATTAATATAAATCAAATCTATTTGTTGAGCTAAATCGTTTTATTTATATGTATTTGTTAACAAATTAATCAATAATATTAACATAAAAAGTTATATTTGAATAATTAGAAGGTTCTTTCAAAACATTATTTTGATTATTTTATTGAAAAATATTGATTTTAGAATATAAACAATAATGAATAACAAATAATTGGTGTTATGTGTGCGGATAGATAGTTAATTTCTAATAAAACTAATTGATCAAATAAATATACACACACATTATGATTGTATTTGACATATTCGAATATATATCATAAATATAAAAAAATATATAAAAAACTCATATAAATGGTAGATTTAGAATATATATAGAAGTTAATTGATTGAAATAAAAGCTACTATAAAATTGGTTCCAATAAATTGTGATTATATACAAAAAAAAAAAAAAAATCCATGAATTATATTTTTAATTGATTATTTAAAAGTTTTTTAAAAAATGAGTCAAATTATATATATATATATATATATATATATATATATGCAATTGTGCTAATCTCATTTAAAAATCATATATATATTTCATTATCGTTAAGCTACGTAGGAAACAAAAAAGGAAAATTAACATTCAAGCTTCCATAATTTTTACCTCAAATCCATAATTAAAAAATTAATTAGATTATTAAAAAAAGCAAAAAAACAAACAAACAAACAAACAAACAAAAAAAAAAAACAAGTCTACCTTCTATTTTAGTTTATTGTATAATTTCTCATTATATCATGATTGCTACTTTAAGGAAATATCTATGCCAACACAGACTTTGAAATAACACATTAAGTTTCCATTGGTCATTTATTAGATTTTTAAGAGTAATGATATGATATTTGTTAAAAAGGAAAAATCACTAGCAAAGAAAGATGAAAGAGAACCTTAAATTGGAAAATAAATTATAAATTACTTCTTTTAGTTAAAAAAACTAATTACTTAATCTTTTTAACATTGTTGGGCGTAACTAATTTTTTATAAAATGTCTTTTATTTTCATCAATATGTTCATAATTTCACTTATTTTTTATTCCTTTGCTATTTCTTAAAATAAAAAAAAAACAAAATAAATTGAAAAATGGTGAAAAGTACAAAAAATATATTGTTTTTGAACTAGAAGGATTAATTAATTCATTCCCAAAGAGAAATGGACTAATTTATAATTTACTCTTGAATACCAAGTCGCTCCTTATGAAAAGAAAGGCAAAAAAGCAATGGAAGACAGAGAATTAAATGCTCATGTGAAAAAAAAAGTAAATAAGGAAGGCTAACCGATGAAGGAAAGAAAAGACCAAAATCAAACAAAAAGAAGATCGAAGAGAAACAAAAGATATGCCTTCAAAGACAAATAGGTAAATCAACAAAGAAAGGATATGGCAAAAGAGAAATTAAGGAGAACTTAAAGGGGTAGAAATTAAGCAACACACATGAATATGAGCATGTGAGATGAACAAAAAGACTCCAAACAAGTATACTTGAGTCACCATGAATAAGATTTTGTCTCTAAAGCTATAATAAGTGAACAAGAGTGATCCTAGTTCTTTTAGTTTCTTTGTAACATTTTGATATAGTGTATATTCTTATTTAGTGTAGTTTTTTTATTCAAGTTTAATTGATCATAAAATTTAATATTGTTCTTTATAAATTGGAAAATAATCTTATTGGCATGTTATATTGGTATATCCAAATTTCAATCCAAACAATTAAGTTGGGTCATCTAAAAAAGCCTATTAGAAAATTGAGAGTTTAATGTGTCCGAATGATAAATCGATAAACCATGGACTCTTAAATAAGAAAAATAGTTAGGATAGTGTACTTATCTTCGACTAATAAGATAAACTATATAAATTAATCCTCTAATAATTAGCAAGAAAGTGGACACTAATGGAGCATGAAAATAATAAAAATGGACAACATGAAGCATTGTAAGGCAACAAAAGCAATTGTAAAAAATTAAATATAGAGCATTACAAGTATCATGAAATGACTAAATGTCTATAAATACAAACTGGGAAAATGTCCACCAACCAAATAATCAAACTAAATAAAACTTGCAAACAACAAGAAACTCTTAGAATACTCTCCTAAGTTTTGAAATCCTTGAAATTTATTAGACTATAACTTTTAGATAGTAACAAATAGAGAATAATATTGCAAGTTAATAGATTTATATATTTGTAGATTCGTAACGTAGTTCTCATTTTGTAATCTAATCCATGTTTGTACTCCTCAAGTATTAAATTTTTGCATGAACATCATGCCTAGAGAAAGAAATCTTAGTTTATAAGTAATATTTTTTATTAATAAATATAATTTTTTTTAAATCTTGTATGGTATAAAGTTTAACACATCATAGTGGGTATTGAATTTTACTTTTTCTCTCTTGTTATAACAAACCTCTAACGTAAAAAATCGGCTTGTAAAAAAAAAAAAGTTAGAGATCCAAAAATAATTTGTTCTTTAAAAGACGAAGAGTAATTAATTTGTTTCTAAGAAAAAGTTAAAGAATTAATTTATAATATATGCTGCCCTTTTAAACGGACAATCAGAAGTCTAAAAACCAGGACCAAGTTTCAAAGACTAAACAAACAAACAGTTAAAGCAATCAAAACGAAAACGATGTGCATTCACGCCGAGTTTTTAATTATCCACGTTTTTCAATTAATTACTACTACCAAATAAAAAGTCTTGAAATATGCGGAAAGAAAGAAGATCAAAGTAAGGAACGGCAGCGGTTTTCCGGAGCACGAAAAAGGAACATGTTCAACGTGCAAAATAAAATAAAATCAGACATTAACTTCCAGGACATTTTCCAATGGTGTTGCGTCTCGTTTTTACGTGTTACATACGTGTCTAAAAAGCCACCGCTTGTGGGCTCCACAAACGGCAACTACAAACAAAAAAAGCCATATTTATATCAAATTCTCCATTTATGTACCCTGTGCTTGCTTTCTTCTACATTTGACCCTCAAAACATATATGAGATACTTTTGTCCTTAGCCTTTTCAGTTTGTATTGTATTGTATTTATTGCATTTGATTCTGTAAAATTTACAGAAAAATTCATAACGTTGGCACCGAGTGCTAAGAGAGTTTAGCCATCTTTTCAGCATGAGGAGGAATTGCGATCTCGAACTCCGACTTGTTCCCTTCTCTGATTCCGACCACCACCGCCAACCCATGTAAGCTCATCTCTCTCTCTCTCTCTCTCTCTCTTATCTAGAAACATGTTTAAAATTTTATGATAATATAGGTCTTTTTATTGTGTTCTTTCGAGACTAATTATTCCTAGTTTTAATTTGTTGTTGATCACTGAAGAATGGAGGAGTCAACCGATAGCCCGCAGCAGCTTACTATTTTCTACAACGGAACGGTTTGCGTTTGTGATGTTACAGAGTTGCAGGTACGATAATTTTCTCCTCCTTTTTCTAGTACTTTAGCTTGATTTTTTTATTTTTTTATTGCTTGAATATTAATATAAGAAGTTTCATGGAACTTAATTTCGGGAGTTGAATATTAAAACCCGCTGTATTTGACCTCAAATTACTACATGGGATTTTCATGCCTTAATCTATTATTTAACAAAATTAACATGGCTTAACCTCAAACGTGTAATACTGATTTCACAGACATCACAGTCTTAGCAAATTATGGAGAAGCTCCTTCTATTTATATAATTCATCAAGATATATATAAGAGAGGTTTCATGTTTAAATAGTAAGAACGGTGCTGGGATGAAATTTATCATTTACGAATGAGAGAATACTATCCCTATAGTGTAATCTATTCTAAAACCTAGCTATTGGATCAATTGTTGAAGGGTAAAAAAATTATTATCAACAAGAATTTTTTTTTTTTTTTTTTTATCTTAAACAAATTAATTAATCTTGATATGTATGTTACAGGCCAGAGCCATCCTAACGTTGGCCGGCCGGGAGATGGAGGATAAATCGAGATCCCCTGAAGGATCGCAACCTACTTCACCAACTTTGCCATCTCAGCTGTGTAGCCGTACGGGCCTTTCCATGAAGAGATCATTACAGCGGTTTCTCCAGAAACGAAAACATCGAATCCAAGCAACGTCTCCATACAAATCAGTAACCGGCAACTATTCAGGAATTGGTGGGATTAAAGAGATTAATAGTAGGAATCTTTGTAATTAAGTTGCAGTGACAAGAAAGGTCGTACATCAGCCATCTAAATCATGAATCTGATCATGGCATCGCTAGAATTACACATTTCTTGATTGATTAAAATTTTTTGATTCATTGTCTGATCAGTGGAGCTAAGATAGTGCCGTGATTATAATTCATTATGCTTCCAATAGAAATTTTGTAAAATGTATACGGAATTATGGATCATTATTATGCATGAATTTCCTTCATCTTTTTCATCCCATGTAAATTTAGGGGCGGAATTAGGATTTTAGGTGTGGGGTGCCAAAATGAAACTTACTAGAATGCATTTAAAAATAACATAAACTACTAATGGTTATAGAACATAATTAATTTGTTTGGATTGTAAAATGCAGATATTTTTCAAAATAAGCCTTAAATTCAAGGGTATATTTTATTATTATTATTATTTTTTTGAAAGTTTAGGACAAGTATGAATTTTTTTCAAATTTCAAGGGGTACATGGCGTCTGCTAATTAAGCATGATGTTGCTCCGCCGCTGAATGCAATCTGGTATTGAAATTTACGCCAATCTATACAACAATAGTAAAACTAACATAGTGAGATATAATGTGCACGAGTATTCAAATGGTTTTTCGATTCGGTTTTTATGAAGTTCAGTTTGATTTTCGATTAACCGAATTAACTAAAAAAAAAATTAATTTAATTTCGATTTTTTGATTAAAAAACTAAAATTTTGGTTTTGGTTTTTAACCATTTTTTTTTATTTTGAATGGACTTTGGGCCTAAGTACATGGGCTTTAGGCCTATATACATAGGCTTTTCAATTTTTTTGTATGGACTATGTCATTTTCCATCTTATCTCGCACCTCTCTATGTAGAGACTTTAGGGTTTTCATTTATTTTTCTATAAGAACCGAGCCATTGTCTATCTTTCTCTTGGCCCTTGGCTACTAAAGCAATTTCTTGCTTATGAAGATTGTTCAACAAAAGTATTTTCAGCACATTAAAACTCAAAATCTACTCGCTTCATTATGGAGGCTTATGCAAATGCGTAAATGCTATTTGTTCTTGTGCTTTCTCTTGTTTATCATTAGGTTTTACAATATTAAAAAACAAATCAAAATACAATCCATTAACTCAAATAAAAAATGCACACCATCGAAATATTAAAAAGATATCAAAATACAAATCATTTGGCATAGATAGATTGCATATACTTTCAAGTCATGGCAAATGGCAATGGCATTCCCTATTAAAAAAAAAAAACAGCACGTTAACTTAAATAATCTATCAAAATATTAAAAGTTTGAAAAATTATTATATCAAGCAAATAAAAATTAGAAACTCACTTGTGACATGGAGAGTCAAAATACCATTAATCCATCGGATATCTATCATAGTGAAATCTATTGCTAAATCTAAAAAATATAAGATAAAAAAATCAATAATTTGACATCATAAAAAATTATAGAATTAAATAATCAAGATCATAATTATATGCATATTAGATAGCTAAAAGCTTATTCTCTATTTTACCAACAATTGCTACTAAGCCTAAAAAGAATTCACATGTTGCACAACCCAAATTCAAATTCTATAAAAAGGGAATTAAGCTTATTATCCTCGAAGTGAATTGCACTAATTTCTACAAGCATCCAAATCCAAGCATTAAATCACTTACGAGTTGAATTATCTATATCGAATAGAAAAAACAAAAAAGCAAATACATGTCTAGTTAGAGATATTGCCAACAATTTATCATTATTCAAAAACCTTGTGTTTGATTTTTGGCACTACCTACCCACATCCCAGCCTACCAATAGCAATACCAAACAATGTCTAAGAAGAGGAGCACTAAACTTATGATTATACTACCATTTTTCTTTGCACCCAAAGGTATAGACCACGCATGAGCACTTCATTTTATACATTCTCATATATATTTACACTTTACAAGTACTATTGTTGTATGTTTTCTTCATGTGGCACAAATTGCATGCTTTGTCATTTGTATAGTCAATTGCAAAATGACCTCTTTTCCCATAGAGCTAGGTGACATGGTTTCTTACGGTTATTACATACTTTGTCATTTGTACAATCAACTACAAAATGACCTTGTTTATAGTAGTTATTGCATAACCTTAAGTCACCGAGTGGTATAAGTGGAGCTGTAAGGGAAATTTAGTAAACTTAAGATCCACAAAAACACTATACGATTCATATTAACTCGTTGTTTTAGGGGGTTTATTTAAGTTTGGAGAATCGATCAATGATCGAAGATCTAGACCTATTGGGTGGTAAAGTACTTATATATTTAAATTAAACCTTCTATCCTAACCAACAAAGATAGGTGAATCTTCTCTTTTTTTTTTTCCTTCAAAACACCTATACAAAGGAGGTTGTAACTAAAAGTCTACACTTATTTACTTCCATCCTAACTAGCAAAGATAGGTGCATCATCTCTAGTCTCTAGTCCACCCCCTAAAAGTCCACTACCCTCTTACCCTTCATAAAAGCATACTACCGACACTACTCTTGTACTCCCATTTGTCAAGCCATCAGCAAAAGCAAGCATTGATAGGAAACAAGAAATTCACACACTAATTTCCCAAAATTCAATCTCAAAATTAATGGCTTATTCATCATACTCGTTTTATTTTACCGCAATTAGTCATCTAGGTCTAATTAATGGCTTATTCATACACTCGATTTCCTAAAATTCAATCTTAAAATTATGTCTTAAAGTCTCAAGTTTTCAAATTATGCATTTACTCATCTAGTAATGTAAAGAAGAATTGATATATGAAAAATATGAGAGAAGAAGTGGGAGTACTATAATACTATCTAATGTGAGATCGAACTTATTTACCAAACATATGATAAATACCATGGACCATTATTCTTTGAGAAAAAAATCCAAACCAAGAATAATTATCGTGCATAAAACACATATGTTTTTCTCTCACCTTGAATAGAGATGAAGGAAGTGGGTCAGTAGATGGTAGTTGGTGTCTAATGACTAGTAGAGCTTGCTCTATTTCTAACGAGAGAGTCTGCGAGAGACCTAAAGAGGAAGGGAATGAAATGTTAGAGAAGATGACACTATAGAAAAAGAAGACACTATAGGAGAAAATAAAGGGGTCGGAGGGTTTTGCGTGCTCGTTGTGGAGTGTGGAATGGTGACTAATGAGTGACAAGGTGGTCGATCGGTCGGTGGGTGTGGGAGAAGTTGACTCGATTCAATGGAGAAGAAGAGAGAAATGTTGGCAACTACATATGTATGCTTTTCTTCTCTATTTAGGTTAGGTTTTATTTTTAGCCTTTTCTTAAGTCAAGTTGTCTTAACTCTTATCTTATATAGTTATGTTTACAGATAAAAAATTAAATAATAATAATAATTTAGATTTTTGGTTAAAATCGATTGAAATGTTTTCAAAACCAAAATTATTTCGAGTTTGATTTTTTTAAAAAAAATTTTACACTTCAAATCGAATCAAAATTGATATTTTGGTTCAATTCAATTTGTTTTTTTGGTTAGAACCAAAGTTTGCTTACCCTTATAAAAAAACATAAGTTGCACTTAACAAAAGCTCATTTCACTCAAACACCTATAACTCGATAGAGATGGAAAACCAAAATGAAACTCGAGAGTAGCAAAGCATCCAACAAGAAGTGATCATCTTAAGAAATGAAGTGTTGCATTTAACTACTTTGCTTGAGAAGGATCTCTAGCCCAAATTACTCGGAAAATGAAGCTTTAGTGGTGAAGGATCCGTTCTTTCCTTCCACAATGTCGGTTCGTTTATCAAGCCCATCATATCTTTATACTCTTTCTATGATGTCGACTTATCCCGAAAGGCCTTCTCTAGTTACTTCATCGAGCCATATGATACCTTTCATTGCCAAGAATTATCTACTCTTACATGCCTCGCCTCGATATGTGACCTTTTCTTTAAATCATTTTGACCAAACTTAAATCCCTACAGGCTCGCCCCAAGATAACAAAGAGATCAATAAAAGAAAGAGGGTCAATGTATATGGGTCAATTTTTTTTTTTTTAATAATGGGAAAAAGGTTAAAGATAAAAAAAAGGATGGTTAATGACAACTAAGGATGAGCACACCCCGAAACCTCAACCGACCAATTTTAAAAGGAGACCATTCTAAAGCAATTAACTAGGGGATAGAAAGGAAAGTTTTTATGAGTAGGACCAACCTCGGTGGTATGAGAAAAGAGAGTGATGAATTTGTATGAAGGTATTCAAAGAGATGGCAAGCACTAGCCTTTCGTACACATCCATCATTGAATCGATTAGAACTATTTGACATCTTCATCAACACTTTGGGATCCCCGTACTTTGAATACCCGAGTGGTAGTTTTTCATGCTCGTTCAGGTGATCTCATGAATATAGCAATGGAAATGGAGCACGACATAATTCCGAGAAAGGCCAAGGCTTTAGAAGACACTTCTAGTGATAAAGGATTTAGTTATGATGTCTTCAAATCTAACCCCAATCTCCATGTTTATTTTTAGAAACTCATAAAAAATAAGGGAACCTTTTCTCTTATATGCCCACATCTTCTATACAAAACTATCAAATACGTAATCAATAATCTTTCAAAGAGCCCCAATGATCATACACCTAAAATAATGGCCAAAGATATCAAGACATATTACCTTTACTTTTGATTTCACTAACCAAGTTATGTAGTCATCTCATCTTCATTAGACAAGTAATTCTTATTTCTATAACTCCCCTTCAATCACCATATCTTCGTTGGTATAAGTCTAGTGAGAGATATGACTATTATATTAGAGTACCAGTCATAACACCAAGAATTGCATGGCTTTAAAAAGAAAAATAGCACGATTTTTTATTAAACAAATGTGAGTCTTTTTGGATGAAAATCCAAGTGCATTGACTACTAGAAATAATCCATAAACACCATACGACCCTTACCACTAGTACAACCAAGAGTATTAAAAGGACAACGAATAACTACCACCCTTATTTTTTTTATTAGGTGAAATGTTCGAACGCCTAGTGAGTATTGAGCTGATCACCCTAATTCTTGTAGTGTTGTATCATCTTTCAAGAATAACATCAATTTTGTCTTTATCATTATAAATCCAGGTATGGATTATGAGGAAATGTTGACAAGGATCTCCGGATAACTATGTAAGCTCTAGTTTGGAGCATGAGGGGAGAAAAAAGGAATCGGAGATATTTTAGGTGAAAGAGAATTTCGGAGGGCGAAAAGAGAGTTTCTAGGAAATTTTTAAGATTAGAAACGATCTTGAAGGGTTGAATTTTGGGTTTCAAAAGGGATTCTTGAGCTTCTTTTTTGGGTTCATTTCGGGTTTCAAAGTTATTTTCTAGGTTCATAAAAATTTCTAGGTTACTCGGGCTTCGATGAAGAACAACTACATGAAGGAAGCTGAAGGTTACCCCTTTGTCACTCGCTAGAGTTCCATCTTTGATCGATCAATTCAAGTAAACTAACAACTTCTCTTTCATCGATCGATTCAAACCATCATCTCTCTTTTGCCTTGAGCTCGTTCAAGAGCCAATGATGGAAGTGACTTAGTCACTCGCTATCATACAACACATAACACTCTTATTTTTTTCTTTACACTTAGGGGAATCAATCAAAAGAAGAGAAGGCTTCAGTGGTTTTCTAGGTGAGTGAGAACAAAGTTCGAATGAGATAGAGCGATAAAGAGAGATAGAGAAAGAGACCGAGTGTTTCAAGTTTGATTTTGAGAATGAGAAAGAGAAAAAAGGTGTATGGGATGGGATCATCTCAATCTTAGTAGAGGCCTCGTTGGTTTCGAAGGGTGAAGGAGACGAAGGAAAGGAAAAAGCTTTATGGGTTTCTTTTTGATGAATGAAGGAAAAGAGATGAGTGAGAGAGAAAGGGAAGGTTGTTTGATCGAAATGTTTTTCGTAAAATAACTAAATAGTGTTTGTGGGGTTAGGCTTAATCCATGAGAAAAATTATGGGTTGGACCAAGCTCGGGTCGGCCTTAACCCGACCCATACCCACACAAGAAAGAAAGAAAGGGATGGCTTGACTAGCGAAGCTAGCCCAATGGCTCGAGCCTAGTGGATCGAGCCTAATGGGTCGAGGGCCCACCGACCCCTAAAAAAGTCCAATGTTTTAATTTCATTTTTTTAAAGATAAAATGATCTTGAATTTTTTTTTATGCATTTTTATTTCCTATTTAATTTAGATTTAATATTCTAGGTTTATTGGAATTTATTTAGTTAATGTTAATTTAGAATTTGTTTCAATGATTAGTTTGGATAATTAATTGGTGGATGAATTGTCGAGTCTCCTAATTTTAGGGATTGATGACGATTCCCCACCGATAAAAAATAAAAAATAAAAATAAAAATGGTGAACAAAAAAGAAAGGAATATTATTTGATGATAATTTAGAATTTATTTCAATAATTAGTTTAGATAATTAATTGGTGAACAAATTATCTAGGCTCCTAAAATTTAGGGACTAATAATGGCTCCACACTAACAAAAAACAACAAGAAAATATAAATGATGACCAAAAAAAGAAAGAAATATTTTGTTAATTTTAATTTTAGATTTTATTTCAATAATTAATTTATAAAATTAATGAGTGGATGAATTATCGAGTCTCTTAATTTTTTTGGGATCGATGACGATTCCTCATCGATAAAAAATAAAATAAAATAAAATAAAAAATGAACAAAGAAATGGATATTAGGAAAAAAATGCAAAGAAAAATTAACGAAGTCTCCAATTTGATAAGAACTATTGTTGGCAACAAAAATCATTTTAATAATCAAAAGGTTCTCCAACACACTAGTTATACCGAGATTTAAAGTGAATACGATATTTGAACTAACGTGTCTACTCGACGAAGGGATCCAATGATTGGTTCAATATGATGCCATAATAAAAAAATAAAAAAATTAATTTGGATTAGAAAATTTGAGTTTAAATCAAGAATAATTTAGCGTAAATAAAACACCTTAGTAAAAGAATTTTAGGATTAAGCTAGATGTGGTACCTTTCTTAGGAAAGAACGTTTTGGGTGATCGTTATCTTTTCAAAAGCGTAACTAACTCTTTATCCTATAATCTTTGGACCAATGCTTTTTTTAGCTTTCTAGTTCCTAAAATACTAGGTGGCGACTTCCAAATCTAATAATAGCTCATATCCTTAGAAATCATAAATAATAAAGATACATCTTTAAATAAATTTTAAATTTTTTTGGAAGTCCCGTCCGATGTTGGGTAGCGACTAGACTTATTTCTTTCCATGCATGGGGAAGAATTTCACATATAAAAAGAAGAGGAACATTGTTATATCTAAATTTATTATGGGTCATGACCTAATAAATTAGATTTGAAAGATAGATAAAATCCATCAAGTTCTTCATTGAGTTTTTCGTAACCTCTTTCATTGATTGGCTTCACTTAGAAGCCCATTGGATATTTTTTATTTAAGGAAGACCATCTCTAACTTAGTAAACCCAACAAACGCACATAGCCCAATAAATCCAAACTAGATAAGACTCGTTGGAATTCCTTTAACAAGCTAGGAAGAAACAAACGGAAGAGAGACTTCCAACAAGGCAAGAACTAAAAAAGCCATGAGAAATAGTTTTATTATAAGGACAAAAATAACAAGCAATGAGTAATGTACATGTAGTTAAAGAATAACAAAATTTTGATAGCATTAACAACAATCCAGACAGTTAGAAGAACATGAAAAAAATAATCTATTGTTGGAGATCATAGAGAAGCAATAAGTTTATAAATACCATCTACAATAGGAGAATTAACACATAACAATAAAGCACAAACAAACTCATGTAAATTACAAACAATTCAAGGAATACTTCACAAGTTCCACACTTGAAACTTGTTAGGTGGGTAGGAGGTAGTAATTTGTAAGTAATATACTATACACGAGTAATCAATAGACAATAATTTATAGGTCGTAATCTAAAAGGTTATAATCCGTAGGTTGATAGTTGGTTTCTAATCCTCTATTTGTGCTCGTGACGAGTCACCATTTTCAATTCCTTCAAGATCTACCATGTCTAGAATGTCAACTTTTGAATATTTTCAATTCTCTTTAATTGTAAGTTTGTTGTTTACAACACTCGTAAACACTATAGTATTGAGTTATAAAGTCTTCAAGTTTATAATTTTTAAATTTTCATTTATATTGCATCCCGTAGATCTTAGTGTTTGAATCCTTTAATTCTCTAGTTTTTAGTTTAATTTTATTGTTTTGATTACATAGATAGAAAGTTTAATTTGTTTTTTATTTTGAGCTATCGCCTTTATCCTACAACCCAATTAACTTAGGGGTTTGTGACTCTTTACCAAAGGTTTCCAAACCTATTGCAACATGTTTAATTCAACTTAATTTAGTTTAATCATGACACTAAATACAAAAAAGGCCATCATGATTAATAGTAATTTATATTATAAAGTTAATTTAGTTCATTTATGTATACGATCGAGATATTAAGTGTCCTGCAAAACGAATCACAATTATCGTTTATTTTTTTTGATATGAAATATTTTTATTTGAGACCAATAAAATAAATAAATAAATAAACCCACAACAGTTGGTTTGATTTATTGCGGGACTTGTGCATTGTTGGATTTCAGTTTTATTGGTTTGCTGTGTTGGGTTTGGCTTTGGTCAACTTTCACATAACCGGCGTCATGTAAGATTATTTGCGCTAATTTATTGTGTTGTTATTGTGCAATGAGCTATATGAAATTTAATCAGAGATTTTTATTTTTTATTTTTATCATTAATAAAAATTTGGATTCTGTTGAATATCTAACGAGAAGTAAATGACTGAAAAGACTTTTCATCCAATACAACCCGGCAGAAGAAGATTAGAGCGCATCTGATCCTATACAAATACGAAAAAAATAGGTCCTAACCGGTTCCATTACTACCTTTTATTTTGGTGCCAAAAGCTTTGGCGGGAAGTTTCCGGCAAAACAGGGAGTCACCAACTTTCAAAAAGGAAAACAACATTGTTCCCGCCAAAATTGTGCAAGTTTTCCCCCTCTTGTTTCACTTGCCTTTGCCAGAGAACATATAAAAACCCATTTCATCCCTCTCAGGAAAAAAATAAAAAATAAAATCATTTAATTAACGCAAATAGATGGATCTAGCAGAAATTGCAAAGAAACTGAATCTCTCGGAAACCAAGCATCTCATTCGAAAAGCAGCGGAGCTCCGTCGTCTCTGCGATGTTCACTTCGATTCCTCCGTCATCGGAGTCGTAAGTATCTGTCTTCGTTTTTCACGTACATAAAAAGAAAATAATAATAATAAAACACTTCTTTAATCTTTTGTAAATGATTGATCCCAAATGGTTGATTTTTTGTTCGCTTGTTTGTAGGGAGAGGTTTGTAAGGCTATTATCTGCTTAGAAATCGCAGCCACCAGGTATTTCTCATCTCTCTCTGTCTCTCTCTTTTGAGTTTTTTGAATTGAAAACTAAGAAACCTTTGATATGGGTTCTAATGCTTTTTTTTTCCTTAAAGTTTTCAAGTGATTTTCGATAGGCAAGCTGCTATAAGATTGAGTGGAATGTCTGAGAATGCCTACAATAGATCCTTCAATTCGTTGCAGAACACTCTCGGTGTCAAGTGGGTATTTCTTTTTTAATGCTGATGATTTGATGTGAATCGTGCTGTAGTAGAAATGGAACTGTTGGTGATAATTGGATTGGATGTTTGGTTGGTGTTGTAGGACAAAGCTGGATATTAGAGAATTGGGGATTCAATTCGGTTGCATTAGGCTCATTCCTTTGGTAAAAAATGGTTTATCACTGTAAGATCGATTTACATCCCTTTTCATTTTCTTATATTTTTCACTACATTTTATTCATTAACTAAATGGAGCTCGTCCAGGATTTGCTCGTGTATTTTGATACTCGCTATGTGTTTGTAACAATGCGTATGTGTGGGACAAATAAAAATAAAACAATAATGGAAACGTTCAATTTATCTTTGGAAAAGTTTTATGTGATTGGCTATCATGGTCTTAAATTTCTGTTAGTAGATATGAGATCAGTTTTGTTAAGAATGAAATTGTTGTGCGAACTGGACTCGCAAATGAATTTGTTGATTTCTCTAATTGCTAGGTACAAGGACCGGTTTGTTGCATCACTGCCTGCTTCAAGGCGAGCAAGCGCTGACTTCACCAGACCTGTGTTCACCGCAGTTGCATTTTACTTGTGTGCGAAAAAACACAAGGTAAGTATTTTTTTTTCTTGCAAGATGTGGTTTGAGAATTATGTTATTCATGTCATTTACTCACGAGTCAATGATTCTAACTTGACAGCTCAAGGTAGACAGGCTTAAGTTGATCAAAGTTAGTGGCACGTCGGAATCTGAATTCAATTCTGTAAGAGTCCTACTTTCCAACTGAGCACATTTCTCTAGTGTTGCAAACTGCCTTTTCTTGTTTTTGTTTTTCTCAGTTTTGATTTACTTGTACTAATTTGGAGTTACGCATGTAGGTATTTGCTTCCATGAAGGATCTCTGCTATGATGTTATTGGGATCTCAAAGGAAAAAAAAGATCCTAGGGAGGTGAAGGGGAACCGAGGTTTGATACATTTTATTCATAATCCTTATGCCTTTTGCTGTTGGCATTTCTGTTGCTGGGTTGTCAATTACAGTGGGCATATTACTTGAATAACACTATTCTAATCAGAATCATAAAATCTTCACTTCATTTAATTTTAGAAGTTTCATCCATATCTTTTCATTTATTGCTTGCAGAACTTCTGGATGTGCTTCCTGAGAAAAGGAAATTTGATGATGGTGGTTATTCATCTGATGACGAAACAGAGGTATTGCTGCAGCCCTTTGTTGTATATGTTCAATTCATTTAATTAATGGACGATATGGTTGAGAGCGATCCAACCCATACTTACCAAAACAGTTGCAAAATATATACTTATAATAGTGTAATTCTCTAATCTATCTCTATATTCCTAATTGAGCAATTTTAGAATTGAATATATGTCAAGTTTTTATTCTATCCTTTTGGCAAGATTTTTAGACCAAACTATTGAAATTAGTCACTTGATTTTCACATAAATGCCTTTCATTTGTCTAGTTTGCAAGTGGATTTTAAAATTAAAAAATAGTCATATTTAAATCATGTGATTAATTCCAATAGTTTGGCTTGAAAAATCTTGCTAGAAAGACAGATTGGAAACTTAACAACCGTATATTCAAGATGAGATTGGCTCAATTAGAAATATAAGAATGAATTGAAGAATTATCTTATTATGGAAGCATAAAGTCATTAGCCCTATATCTTTTGACCAGGTTACTTGAAAGTCTTATCTTTATATTTAATTGGCATGAAATTTCTCAGGTTTCTAGTCACAAGAAGCACAAAAGAATGGACAAAGCTGCTTATGAGGAGTGGAAATCCTGTGTGTTGTCATCCAATAAAAACAACAAGACAAAAGGTTGTGCAGACTTTTCTATGTTGATTTATTTTTGTGCAACCACTGCAGATTGAGTGACGGAAATGTGACTGATTCTTTTTCCAGGTCCTTGCAAGCAGAGTGTGCAAACTTCCCTCGACTTTTTGAAAGGATCTCCCGAGAAGGCAAAGCGGGAGGCATTATCATAATAAAAGACTTGCTCTGCTTTGTCTTTCTGAAATATTTTGGTTCAATTTTGATGGAAGTTGTACATGGAAGAGCCAAGAATTTACTTTTTTTTTTTTTTTTTTCTGCTCTCATCACCTTTCTACATGAACCGTGAACAGGGATGCCAGGCATTCCCTTTAGGAGACAAGGTTATTTATTTGTATAGTATTTACAGCAACGCTAAATTTTGGAAATGGACAATCTTCAAGCGGGTTAGAATAAAATTGGTCTAGGAGATCAAAACCAAATCAAAGTTCATGCGGGTTAGAATTTACTAAAAAGGATTATCACTTCTCTTCATGTAAAGAAATGCAACAAATGAGGGGCTATCAAGCATATACACGATACTCCCTAAGTTTATCCATCAATTTCATGAAACGGTACTCTTTCTGCGAGCTTGCATTGGGCTTTTCAGTCAATGCACAACCCTACTCAAGAAAGCCATGATTGTCTGCCAGCTAAGGTCCAAGGTGGGTTATCCTACTGCTATTTGCTGATGAAATTAATGCTGTGTGTGTTCTGTCCCTGATGTTTACTTCTCAAAGAGGCTGTGTCACGGATTAAAGGCCTAAAAACGTTCATGGGATAAAAAAGAAAGAAAAAACTCCAGAAAGTCATATAGCAGTCATGCACTTATAAAAAAAGTTACAGGTTAAAAACAAGACCACTGTGCTTGGTTATTCAGTTTCTTCTCAAAGGGACTGAGCTGTATTAAAGCTATCCCGGTTTGAGAAAATGAAGGATGGGGAAAAAGCAGCGTTCAGTCATCAATATTCTATCCAATATTATTACATAAGTTGGATTTCTTCAATTATTAATTAAAAACTCACTTTCAGGTAAGTTATTCAAATGAAAGACTCACAGAGCTTTTGGCTTCTCCATTTCAATGTGCTGTTAGGAGTGAACCACCTCATAACCTTGGCACAACACGGGGAATGGGAACATCCCAGTCGGTTACAATGTGGTTGCGAGTAATCTCCTTTAGCGAGCGGCAACCACTTAAAGCCATCGTTAGTTCAAGCTCATCACGAAGCATCTGAAGTACTTTCCTAACGCCAGCTTCACCGTCAGCGGCCAATGAGAACACAACTGGCCTTCCAATCTGAAGTTCAAAAAAAAAAAAAACAGGAGATTATTTTCTATGCTCCAGGACTTGCATTCAAACTTATTACAAAGCACCAAAATATAAAGTTTAGCGCTTGAATTTGATTATTGCCATTTAAAATGTTTTAATTTGTCATAAAGTTTAGTGCTTGAATGATTCTTGCATACAGTTTATGCAATTACAAATATTCCTCAAAACGTTTCTACATGAAAGATCTTTAGTCACCTAGAAGGTAAACTGTGCTAATTGAACACATTTTAATAAAGAATTATGCTTAATTAATCTAGTGTTTGTTTCCTGTTTTATCACCAATATGGCTTTGCATGCTGGCCATTGCAATATCAATGCACATACAAATATTCCAGATGCTCCAAGGGCCAATGCCTTGAATACGTCTGTTCCACGCCGAATGCCGCCATCAAGAAAAACAGGAACACGGCCTTGTGCAGCTTTGACAACCTGAATATTGCATCAATGAAATTTACTTAAAAATGTAAAAAAATATAAATTTCAATAGATGCCTTTGCAATGTATGGGCATACATGAAGGCCAAAGACATACAGAGTGACTTTAATCCTGGACTACGAGGTAACAGAGAAAATAAGTTTCCTTCTCAATTGTAGTTTCATGAACTTTATGAAAAGGAACATGTACAGGTTGAAAACTTGAAAAGCCGGAGAATTTTCTTGAGATTGCCAAAATGCACTAGAATTATGTCATGATCATTACTAGCACATTTACCTCTTCCAATGCTATAATAGTAGCAGGAACATAATCAAGCTGGCGTGCTCCATGATTGGAGACAATGATTCCTGCAGCCCCATTCTCTATGGCTAGCCTTGCTGCATTGAAAGAAAAATGGGAGGGAGAAGTTGGGAGAAGATTCATCAGAAAAATGTTTGGGAGCTCATAAAGAGAATTAGAAGGCAAGCTTAATGTTTTCATTCTATCATTAATTCCTTTTTAATTTTGGTGGGTGGAGAAAGGATGGTCAAGTTTGCTTACTATCCTCAGCAGTGAGTACACCCTTCACTAGAATCGGCAATGATGTGATTGTCTGAAGCCACTTCACATCCTGTCCAAGTGGTCAAGAATAGCTTTTTAAAGTACATTTTCTGCATTACAGTCTCAAGTCTGAAATCCATAAATATTGATAGAGGAACTTACCTTCCAGTTAAGTGACCCATCAGTTTGTTCAGCAACATACAAAGCTAGTCCAGAGCCATCAGTCTGCATGATCAGATTAACAATCACAATGAACAAAGATATTAAGACAAATGGATAATAGAAGAACGAATTATTTTTAAATGACTAGTAGACTGAAATTGGCCAGCAATACAACAAACCTTATCCAACTTGCCAATGTCTAAGCCCTCATAGTTCTTCAAAGTCAAATATGGTGGCATTGTAAATCTGCAAAGGTTAACATTAAGGAATTACAAAACTTCTACAAAACAGCAAACTTTGATTTATTTTCTCCTTTCATTGGCAGCGACCATCCAAACCTTGTGTAAGATTTGCTTGGCATAAAAGAAAAGGTGTTGATGTGAATATATTAACATATTAGCTTTTGAGGGAACAATGAAATTGTACTGAATGTTATTCCTGCTAGTCTTGATCACTGGATTTGAACTTTCTTACTGGCGCTTATAAGCCCCCTACTTGAAAGTCCAATTCATATTTTTGATTCCCTCTTGGCTTAGCTTATATATGATAAAGACCTGTGGGGGAGCAAGTACCTGTGACAGACGAATTCACTCCTACTTAACTGTTTTCATTCATTAACTTGGCAAAAAAAAAAAAAAAAAAAAGGTTCTATAAAGAAAGTTTCTTTTTATTTTCGATTGCTCTTAAATTGAATTAACCTGTTTTTGATATCAGCTTCCCTACGGCCAAGTCTTGGAGTATCCACAGTGAGAGCAATTGCCTTGAAACCAGCACTCTCAGCTCTTCTTACGAGCTGGACAACCACATTCCTGTCTTTATTCACCTGAACGGGCAATGAAAGAATTTTTGATTTGTCATAGGTACAAACAAATGAAAAACAATTAGCTTATGGAAAAAGCAGATAAATTTTGGGTTGAAATAATTCTGTAAAGTTAAGCATCGAAGACGATAGAATTATATTGATATCAGAGAACATCATAATATTCATTTTAATTGAGGATTTCTTGGCAACATCAATATGAATAAAACTTTGAGTGAACTAAGGCTCTGTTGGAAAAAATGAGTAATTGGTATGACATTGCTAGGAAGATCAAAAAAGAAACTAAAAGAGAGGAAAAACACATCTCAAACTAACATAGAGTTGGAAAAACCGAATGCCTGGCCCAGTTGAAGCAACCTCCTCAACACTGGAAGTAGACCATGAGGATAGCGTCTGAAACAGTAAAACCATGCATAAATTAATATAGACCGAGCGACCGATGAGAAACACTGATCGCCATTGTGTTGACAAAACAAAAGAATAGTATTGGTTTGCGAATGAAAGCCAGCACTATCAGAAAAGGCAGATTTACAAAAAATAAAGCATCAAACCATAATTGTGTCAGCTGCTGAAGCTGCTCTTGCTGTCGCATACTCTCCTGCATAAGAATATATACTTTTGCAATCATAAACTGTTTCTTCTCTTTTCATGTTGAAATACCAGTGAAAGAAGAGAGCACGGGGTGAGGGAGGAGAAGAAGAAGTAATTTGTTATTGAAGGAACCACAACCAGACATCCAATTGTTTATTGACCAGTTCAATACTCACAGCACATGCAATGTTGCATTATTCTCTTAAATTAGCAGGAGTAAGAGCTGAGAAAATGACGTGAACAAAGCTATTCTAGAGGCTACAAGCAAAGACTATTCCTGTGAATGGATCAAAGCCTTGCTTCTCATTTGCATTAGTTTTATGATTTTTCCCAAAGCTACTAGAAGGCATAAGAGCTTCTGAATTGTGAATCAGACTTCTATCAAGAGAATTATCCACAGTAGCAAACAAGTCTTACAATTCCATGTAAAGAGGACATATACCTTCAGGGTGAGCCATTTTCTGCATTGCTGTTGGAGCAATCATGATAGGCATTGAAATCTTGAAGCCCAAGACAGTTACTGACATGTCAATCTTGCTAACATCGATAAGAATGCGTGGTCGAAATCTATTGTTAATGGAAAAGGTGGAGAAATGAGAGAAGAGCAAACAATAAACCTCAAGTCTAGAAAGATAGTACACTCAAGATAACCCACAACGATCAAATTGTAAAAAAATTGAACGGTTGATTTTCACAAAAAGTCCTTCATTTTACCAGATGACAAAAAACTAGTAGCAGGGCCATTCAAAAGCAAAATGCAAAGAAAAAACCTGACAGCTTGACTTTTAATTGTGAAGAAATGCCTTACAAAATGCGAGAGAAGGCATTTCGGTTCTCCTTAAGAGTCCACTGGTCCTCTGCACCTGATGCATAGTAGTCATAAACCATCTTGGGTAGTTTCTGCCTTGCAATTTCCTCATACTCCATAACATTTGTTATCCCATCCATCTCTTCTAACTGATTGTTTGCGCTTTCTCCGAATAATCTGATGAAGTTTCACATATGACTATGAGATTTTGATTTCACACAGTGCCTTCTCATATTCAGAGAATCAAAACAATTTAACACATATCATCTTATCAAGGTACAAGGAACATTATTTTTAAAGAGTAAAATCAGGCAAATACACCCAAAGATCCCAAATGAAGTACAGAGAACGAAAGTGGCATACATGAAGAAAGTTACCAACGAAACAGGAAAAATTATTTCTCTTATACAGTTAAAAATTCTACAACATCAGAAAGAATCTCTAGGAGAGCAATCTCTATTCAATCAATTGCTGTAGCAAAAAAACAAAAAAGACCAAAAATTCACAGAATTAAAAGTCCCTTTAAACCATAGGTGCTTTCTTGACGATCTTTCCTGTCATGATGCATATGCAAGATTGATGAATCCTCCAACCGTTCAAAAGGACATGATTCTGCAACTTGTCATGATTTGTGTTGCATCCGACCTTATTACAGCTAATATACAACAATAGGGAGTCCTTTAGAAAGCTCATATGGCTTCACAGATCCAAGACAATATGCGAGTATAATCATCATATGATGTTACAAACAATATTTGTTTTTTTGGATCAAGTTTAAGAAGCAAAACAAACCTGCATGCACATAAAAGAATATCCAAATGCATAACTAGCGGCTATAAAATGAAATATATTTTTTCTAATTTTTAAATACAGATTCTGGTGGCTTCCCACCAAGAAGAAAACACAGAGAGATAAAATGGCAAAGCTTACAGACACAATTATGATCAGACAGAGATGATCATAAATAATATCAGTATCAATATAACTAAGCCAAACAATAATACAAGAACTAATCGTGAGATTGGAAAGTCAAAAAACATTAAAAAAAAAAAAAAAAACAATAAAGAGAGAAGTTAACTGATAGAGGAAAGAACAAACCTTGGCCTATTCGTTTTCCAATAGGAAACACAGAAAATGGAAAGAGCGCAGCCAAGGAAGTACTCTGAAGCTGCAACCCAATAGCTCAAGTGATGCTTTAGTCCAAATTACAGAGAGTAAATTATAATTTAGTCCCTGTTTTTATTATTTCGTCCTTTTTTTTAGGATAAACATAAATTAATTACTTAATCAAAGTTGACTGTTATTTTTTTCAATTTCTAAAATTTTCTTTTTAAATCAACTTTAAATTTTATATGCAGCAGGTGAGATTGAAAATTTTGATTACAAACGACGAATGGTTTAGATAAAAAAAAAATTAATTGTGGTGAAAAGCCAGTAAAAAAAACTGGTTACAATTAAATATGAAAACATAGAGACTTAATATTAGATGTTTTAAAACAAAAAGGATTAATTAATTATTTTATTAAAATACAAGGATTTACTCAATCATGAAAACAAAAACAAAGACAAATGGGCTCGGTATCGAAATAAAAAAAGAAGAAATATTAAAGAATAGCAAGAGAATAAAAGTACAATAAAGACAAACAAGGTAGGACGGCTGAGTCAGAGAGGCATGTAATGTGGATTGGTTTTCGAGTTGGTACATTTCATTTTATGCATAAAAAATCAGTTTCATTGAAAGTAAGAGAGTGGCGTGTGGACTGTTTGTTCCTTTTTATTCAATTGAAATAATATTTATTTATTGACTTCTTATTTTATTTGCTGAAGCCATACTCAATGTCAATAATATCCATTTGCTGTAATGATACGTTTTGATTTTCGTTGTTTTTTCTTAATTCGAAGCATGCAAAATTGAACATACATGCATGTATCTTTACTAATAATTGTCAAAAACAATCTCTTTAAATTCTTATAAATATTTCAATAACTCAGTTTCTTGTACGAATATAGAAAATCTCGGCTGGATGATTCTATTATTCACTCATGAATAAATAAATAAAACTAATTTCTACACGAAACTGCGATTCAAATAGAAGAGGTCGTCCGGATAATATTATTTAGTTGTGTATCATACTCAAATTGTTTTGATCTGTTTTTACTATGCGATTATTTTGTGATTTTTGATGATCATGCTCAAAATTCAAATAAGTGGTACCCATTAATGCATAGTAAAAACGTAAATTGCAGATTATTTATCACATTAGATCGGTCAAAGTTGAGTCTTAGGTATTCATAGATCTAATCGTGTCGTTCTAAAAAAAAAAAAAACTAATGCATGGTTTGTCTACTTGCGTTGTAATTTATTTATTATTATTATTTTTGAGAATGTCTCCTTGCGTTGTTGGTTCTTGGTATTGGGTTGTGCTTTTAATGTTACCCACATATTTGTTTTGTTAGGAAGCAAATGGCGTATTAACAAAAAAGGACCATAATTAATAAGAGACAAACGGTAAGTTGCTACTCCTGTTGAAATGTAACTTGGTTTTTTTTGGGCCTGAATCACAAACACTGAAGCAAAACAGATCCTAAGAGTTGAGATTTCAATTCAATCAGCCCATAATAGGGCCCATAGGTCTTTGGGAGCTAAATCGAACAAGGCTGACCCTTGAGTCGTGAATTCCAGGCATGGCAAACCAATCGGCTGTAGCACTGCCCTCCCGCTAGGTGTGCTTGATTACAACCTGCCATGATACACAGAAATTTAATTTTGGCAAGATAAGAAGCATCAGACTCCTTTTTCTATCCTTACCTGCTAAGCATGTTAATATCACTTGATAAGTACGCTACAAAAAGTTTTCCTATTATCTTTGTGTGGGAAGTTTGAAAACTGATTAAATGATTGGGTAATAGGCGTATTCGGACATAAAAAGTTAGTATTATGATTTGTATAAAAAACAATCAACCAACTAATTAGAATGGATGCAAATAGTGAAAGGTGTGGAAGGAGTAGGAAACAATGTTAGTAAGATGCAAGTTGAGTGAAAGATACGTGAGTGGTCAAAATATCCAAACGGATGAAACTTTAGATATTATCTAGTGTATGAGTAGACTGCTTATGAGATAGAATGTTTAGAGGTTTTGCTAAGGATCACAAAGTTGAAATTCTCTCATAATGATATGAAGTTGGTATTTATATTTAATTGAAGATAACCTTTGACCGTTAGGATAATGCACATCATCCCTATTTGGACAATCAGATTTGAATTGAAAAATATTAGTTTCTTTTAGACAAAACTATTTTAACTTGCTTGCAAAAGCTAAAAAAAAAAAAAAAAAACAATGATGTCTTTTTTTAGCATATCCTACTTCGAATCCATAAAACCAATCTATCTAATGCATTCTAATAATAAGATATGGACATTGACCATGTCGGAATACCTATGTCCATCATTTCACGACCCAAAGGCTTGTATTGGACGAGACCCATCTTTAGTCCAATCTATTTATTTTGTAACTTGGATCTATTTCGAAAAAAAAAGAATAAGATTAGTATATAAAAAAATTTAATTAATTAATTTTAATAGATAAATTGGGCATATACATTTAGTCTCTTATATAGACAACCTAGATAAATTAGGCATATTCATTTAGTCTCTTACATAGACAACTTTGTCACCAAGAGTATTTGTGCAATCGTGTATGATGAGATGAAGAAATTAAAATTAGAAAAAAATAAATCAACAATGACTATGGTAGACTTACCATGTGAGTCTCTCATTACATATCAAATAAATAGTGAATGATATGATAGGTTCGCTGTGAGCCTTTTGACATACGAGAAAAAATAGTAAAAGCTTGAAAATACTATAAATATATTACAAATAAGAGAAAGAGTAAGAATCTAACTATTAAATGTCCTAACCCTAATAAAATCAAAATTTAATCACACATAAACAACAAAGAATCTAAATTTAAAGTCTTTGAAAATCTATCAAATAGTATCAAAGACTCTAAATTTAAATCTAATTCAATTAATCCCAAACTCGGTAATTTTAATTTAATTAATCATCCCAATCCGATGTTAATCACATAATTGAGATTCTAGAATATGAATCAATATTATAATCATACAATCCATAGAAATTTAAATGAAAATTAAATTAAAAAAATAATTGAAGCACATAGGTATAATTACCAAATCGGACATTTAGGGACTAAACTTGACGAACACAAGGCAAAAGGCAAAGACAGATTTGTGAGTGTGACACGTGTGGTAGGGGCGACGAGTTCATTACTCGCGAGAGCGAAGGCACGTCTAATGTCATTTGGGTAGTAGATTGGCGATGCGAGCTTCGTCTTCTCCTTTTGGTCATGGTGGTCCAATGCGTGTAACAAATGGGTGACTAGAGAAAGAGCAAGCTGGGTTGATAAGTTTGGCCTCTATTTCTTTTTTTCTTTTTCCATTCTCTAGCTCTATCGGTTGTTGTGCTTTTGTCTTTTCTTGTGTTTTCTTTTTTTGGTTGCTAGCTTTTTGTTTACTACTAGTTTTTTTTCTTGTCCCTCTTTTATATGTGATATTTATAGAGATGCATCTAGGGTTGGCCTAAGATTTTTTCTATTTTGATTTTTTTCTTTTTGATTATCAATTAGGCCTAATCAACTTAGCCTAGTACCTAGCCTAATGCCTATCCCGATCTAGGTTTAGTTCGTCTTTTTTATTTTCCTTTTATTGATTTCTTTTCTCTGTTTTTTTCTATGAGGGTAAGAAAATGATGATGACGAGTTGCTTATCCTTTACAATACTTATGTTTCAAAGATGTAAAAATACAAGTCTTTGTATATTTTGACTTAATGAGCTTGTAAAGAAAAAGAAAGGATGGTAAAATTGAAAAAAAAACCTTTTATAAGTAATTTGATGTTGTAAATGAATTAAATATATGAATTTTCTTGAAGTGATTTTATTTTTTAAAAAAGAAACACATGAATAGATGAACTTTCTTAGAGTGAAGCAATCAAATGTACAATCATTATTGGAGAAAATAATAATCAAATATACGAGCCCTTATGGAGTGAAGAAAATACAACAAATATATAAACCTCTTAGGATGAAGAAAATTCATCAAATATACGAATCCTCACG